GAGAGAGAGAGAGAGAGAGAGAGAGAGAGAGAGAGAGAGAGAGAGAGAGAGAGAGAGAGAGAGAGAGAGAGAGAAATAACAGAAATTAAGCAAATGGGTGGCAAGTCACAAACCACCCAAATCTCCTTTTACCTCAACTGTAGATTGACCTAAGTCATTGTGTCTGTCCAGGTTCACATTCAGGTGTTTTTATGACTGACAGCAAAGTATTTTTCCAATGTTACAAGTCGCTCGAGGAAATCTTTTTGTCAGAATATCTAAGAAACGGGCAGAAATGATTAGGTATGGATTCTCCACAGGCTGCTCTTGCCTCACCACAGCAGTTAATTGAGTTTTCCAGCAGGAGGACATTCATCTCGATTCTAAAAGTCAAAAAGATTCATGCATGGGCTTTGTGCGCACCGCCAGTTGAACAAGATGGAAGAGAGTAACACGGTGGGAAACAAAGTGAGACTGGAGCGAATTGAACAGGAGTTTGAAGAACATCGGGCTGTCGGAAGCAACATGACTATATATAGAAAGATCCATGAGAGGATGGGAAGTTTCATTTAGCTCACCCCCACCCTGTTACTTTACACTATCGTTTTATATACGTTATGTTGCTCTATAGAGTCCACGGTGAGCAGAAATGATTTGTCACGAAAAAGGGCATAAACCACCAGTGCTCCTCACTGCTCTCATTCAGCCAGAATTACTCAGTTAACACAGGTCAATTCTCTAAGGTACCAGTCATCATCATCATCGCCATTGTCATCATCATCAAGTGAATCATTACCTCTGCTCGTTTCAGCCTTTATCTGTTTGCACTCTGGCACATTGTCTCTCTTTTCCACATTCTTCTCATCTTATTCACCCCAGTGACGAGATTATGTTGCAAAGTTCACATTTAAAGCTGACGCCCACTAGCACTATTCAAGGATTTAGTTATTTTCAGTGCATTTTGAGTGTTTGTCCATGCACACATCTTCCTGACTATCTACTGACGTCGTATAAAGAGCGAAATAGTTCACACGGTGCCGGTGGGAGGCGAGTTGGATCGGTCAAACAAACAGGACTTTCGTCCAAGAGACAGCTGTTTGTGTCCTGTGCGAAAAAACGTACATGGTTGACATTTTGTCACAGAAGTCGTTAGTCCTGTGAGAAGTTAGTGTGGTTATTTATGGTTATTTAATGTAACTCGGGTGAGTCGCTAGTCACATTATCGTCACACTCTTTTATTAAATCTAACTAAGTAGTTTTGTTTAGTTAAATCTAACTTTCTGTGGAGACGGAAGTTTATTTTGAAAATACACTATATAAGTGGAAACTGACTCGTCCAAAACCGACCCTGGAGGCGGAACATAGCGTCATAGTTTGAAACTTAGGGCCACTGACCACGCGTTGGTATTTTGACGAGTTAGGAGTAAGAATATGTTGGATCTTCACATCTATCAAAGCTGAACCTATCGAACTGCATGAGTTTGGATATTGTTTACAGTAAGCAGATCATTCCAAATGATGGACTATGGCCCTTTAGACCAATGTGAACCAAAGCATAATCACTATGCAAGCCTTTACCACCAAATGAGTTGTTTTTTTGATACAGATGGAAAAGTTTGTTCACTGTATGTTGAGGCCACAAGGGAAGTAGTAATTTGGATTTCCTTCAGTAAGCACTGAGATTACTAGCTTGTCTAACGTTCTCCCAGTTAAATATATTAAGAGAGCAAAGAAATTGTGTAAACATCATATATTGTCTAACAAATGTGGATTGTTAGTTCCAGTAGACAATGCTAAAAGGGAAATGACTCATGTCTGAAGCACGATGTTGTTAGATGGAAAGGACTGTATGAAGATGAAAGTGCGATGTCTGCACAGTTAGTTTCAAAAGTGTTTCCTTAGACTTCTAAATGAATGTGTTGCCCTTGAGACACGGCCCGAGCGTTAAAGTGGAGCAAATGTTTTTATAACATAAACAACATTAAATTATGTTCACAGCTCAGGCAGCTTTCTCTGCCGATTCCTATAGGTGTTCCGCACCTTTTGCACAATGTCCGGCCCTTCAGTCGCTGTTTGTCCTCTCTGCAGTAGAACATAATGTCTTTTTGTCATGCATGCTATTTAGTAACGAACAAATATGTGATTGTGATTATTTCTCACCATGTTTTGCCATTTTGAATCAATTAATAAAGAAAAAAAATAACTAGATTAGTGGATAAATAAAACAATAGTGCGACAATGATTATGGTGTTTTAGTTACACAACAATATTCTTTATTCTGCAAAAACAGCACAGCCAGCTGTTGCGACCGTGGTGGTACGAATGAGCCTGTAGAGATGCTGGTTGCTGCCCTGCCCCCAGGAGTCAGCTGTCCAACCTGCTTATGGTCATTCTCTGGGCCGACTGAGAAGACCTGGCACTGGAGCATAGCTGAAGGTCAAACTCAGGCCCTGTGTCTGTGTGTTGGTGGAGGAGAGGAGGGGGAATGTTGGTTTGAGTGAGGGAACGTGATGAAGCTGATTGCAATTATGAGAGCAGGAGGAAGATACCAACACACACCCACACACACACACACACACACACACACACACACACACACACACACACACACACACACACTTGTCTTACTCTCAAACAGGAATGGAAGGACACACGACCTTCAGACTTAGCTAGCTATAGAGCTCACCATGGATCGATGGTAAGGACATGCTTAAATGTCACCTAGGAAAGCATCGATATATTGACTGATTGTTGTCCAATGTAATTTTAACAGCCACTAGTGGGATGAGATTTAGTTGTTTTCTCTTGATACAGCTCCTAGAATTAAATTACAATAAGCTTTTGATTAAAGGGTTGGTTTAACCAAATAAACCATCACAAAAAGTGGTATTAATCCTTTCTGATAGTTTCTGTTTTATCTGCTGAGATTTTAAGATATCTTATCTCTGACATTTCCGCTGCTACTCCAAAACAGTGGCGGTGGATGTAAATGTGTTTCTGAGCTTTGAGGCAATGAAAAATGACATTTGGAAAATTTCACATCATGTTTCATCAGGACTACTTTCTGCAGAAGAAATAGATTTATGAATCTTTTGATGTTTTACTGAGTGATAATGAGCACTACAGGTGGCCTGCCAGCAATGTAATGGTAGGTCAGCTTGTTGAGGTGCATCTCAGTGCAAGCAGTAGTTCAGCAACCTCGTCTGGCAGGAAGGATCGTATTATCTACGAGAACCCGTGAAAGGTAGAAATAGGCCTTTCTGAGGGGTTTAGAAAATCTCCATGGCTCTGAAATTGCAAATTGAGTCACCGAAGACTAGAATAGACCGGATTTTGAAGGCATGCAGAGTGTCAGAGGCAGAGGATCGAAGATCGGCTTCAGGTTTAACCAAAAATACTGTTATTCACTGTCAGTATTGTTGCCATGATGTTGTCCAGCACTGACCCCACTCTTCCAGCTGTGTCCCGCCGCAGAAATAAGACCTACAGCAGTCAACACCTGCATGCGTCCTCATGTTTGTGTCTTCTCCAGGTTCCCATGATTCCTTCAGTTTCTACATTGATGAGGCGTCCCCGGTGGGACCCGAGCAGCCAGAGACGGTGCAGAACTTTGTTTCTGTTTTTGGCACGGTGGCCAAGAAACTAATGAGGAAGTGGTTAGCTACACAGACGATGAACTTCACCAGCCAGCTGGAGGCTGGGATCCGCTTCTTTGACCTGCGCATCTCCACCAAACCCCGCGACCCCGACAACGAGCTGTTCTTCGCCCACGGGCTCTTCAGTGCCACGGTCAGCACAGAGCTTTGCTGGTTTTTGATGTGATAAATCTTTTTGCAATGCTTGTGGTTGCTAAGTGATGTTTTTACATAGCTGTTTGTGGCAGTGAGAGTGCAGACTCACACATGGTCCTTCAGAGATTTTAAGTACATCACAGTCTTTTATGTGCCTATATTTCATATACTTATGTCATGAAACAAATTATTTCTACATGTATTGGTAATTATTGTGCTTTTCTTTTAGGTCAGAGAAGGTCTAGAGCAGATCAGCAGTTTCCTGTCGTCTCATGCCAGAGAGGTTGTGTTCCTGGACTTCAACCACTTCTACGGTGTGCAGAACCTGCACCATGAAAAACTGGTGGCCATGTTAAAAGAGGTGTTTGGGGACAAGCTCTGCCCAGTCGTCTTCGCTCAGGAGGTACTGTAGAAGCTACAAGCCGGCCTCAAACGTTTATTCCAGATGCTTCTCACAATTCAACAACTCTTGATTTAGAAAGAACACAAATCAGGCTCTCATTTTGTGTGTGTGTGTGTGTGTGTGTGTGTGCGCGTGTGTGTGTGTGTGTGTGTGCTCTTTTGAAAATTATAGTTTTCTCAGTGCAGCATAACAGTGATTTCTATGTTTTGATGTCTTGAGATGCAGAATGATGGTTATCACATCCCTTATATTTGTTCATTGTTTTTCACACTGAGTATTTCCTTTTGCATAGAAGTTGAGTAGAAAAGTGCTCCCATGCTCAGACAGATTTGTCTCTCTGCCGCTTTTCTCAGTCCCTTTTTTTTCACCCTCCACCACTTGATCCACCTCCCTCCCTCCCTCCCTCCCCCCAACCTGAGGTGATGGTGTATCTCTAGAACCTGGAAGAAGGAGAAGTAATCAATACCAAAGATCATAGTTTCCTGTCAGGTGCTACAGCTGTGTGAAGATGGAGTGTATGAGGAAAAGGACAATAGTGACTTGTGGATTCTTGGAAAAGTAATGATTACAATATTAAGTCTTCTCAGTGCTGTAGGTGCATCTCGGGTGGTGTTTAGAGAAGACAAATGAATGGTGTTCTTTCCTTCACATGTATTATATTCACTCCTCGCTCCCCTTTCTTCCTTTGTCTTTGAGTAGATCTCTTCTACTAATTCCTTGTCACCCCTCTACCTCACAATAGAAATACCCAGGGGATAATATACAGCTGGAGGCTCATTGTCACATAAGTATGAATGATGGAGAATCAAAAACTAAATAAATGAGCATGAGTATGTGGATCTTGGGGTCAAGATGAAACGGCCTGTACTTCAACTCTAGCCACCTCCTTAGACACCATCCAACTTATTACCTGGCTTCTCCCTTTAATCCACTGACAGGGGATATTTATTCTAGTTTTTTTGTTGTTGTTGCTAACTTAATTGATTTACCTACACTCGTTCAGCGAAAATCTTTCAGCAGAGATTTAACCAAAAGATATGTTTCTCATGTCCATGCGCTACACTGTGGCAGAACGGCAGCCATAGCTATGTAAACATATTGCTGTTTATGAAAAAAGGTTGACTACATATATATCTGCACAAAAGCGCTATTCATTATTTACTAGGAATGGGATTTCTGGCAGGTAGTCTGCACCTCTTGACTAGCCTGTAGTATCTTTAAAATATAAATTTAATTTGTGTTTTTACTCTTTCGCCTTCGTTTTTTTTCTCGATTAGCAATACACTATGATTAGACATAAAAGACAGATTCTCTTCAGAAATACCAATGTTGATTGTGTAGTGGAGGGTATATATACGCAGGTATACGGAGTAGGTTTTTGGAGTATATCCACCTCTAATACTGTCAATTTGCTGTATAATCAGCTATTATCCTAAAAAACATTGAAATACATGGGAGTATACCCCCTTTCTCCGTAGTGATCTATCTAATGCAATATACACTCTTCTCAAGGGACTACACTGCCTAACGATGTCTATGGTCAATCAGAACCGAATATTGAACCAAAGCTGCTTAATAATCTGCTGTAGTGATGCATCATATCAGGCAATTATATCCATTTATTCATAAAGCTTACGAGACAAACTTCCAAGTCCAGCTCAGCTACTTGTTTAAAATGTTTTCTGTCACTCAGCACAGAAGGGGCTCTTTTGTATTTACTATTTAGCACCCATCACCTTTTTTTTTTTCGTTTGTCACCTATAACCTGAGCACATGCCTCCATCTCCAGGTGTCTCTGCAGTATCTGTGGGAGAAGGAGTACCAGGTGGTTGTCTTCTACCACCACCCCAATGCCCTGGAAGTGCCCTTCCTGTGGCCAGGGCAGATGATGCCCACTCCCTGGGCCAACACTACCGACCCAGAGAAGCTTGTTCAGTTTCTCCAGGCGTCTGTCACTGACCGCAGGTCAGCCTCTACTTTTATTTTATTTAATGCATGAGGTTAAATGGGACTTAATGTGATCTAACCATGATGGTCAATCAGCCATGACCTTGATTTATTGTCATCCTTTGCTCATAGTTCAGGAAATAATGACTTACAATTTAATTTGCTGTAGTTAGTTAAACGTAGCCAACTAAGAGGATGGGAACTAGGATGAAATACACAAGTTATTACTGGCTATGTGACACTCCGATGGCTAAGTTATAAACTAGACTAGGCCTAAACCTAGTATGGCCCCGCTTTTCTGCGGTCGTGCCAAAATTCAGGTAAAACCACATTTTTCCCCTTTAAAACACATTAATACATTCATGTAAAGGAAACTGCTAATAGGAAGCAATCTTCAAAATCTGACATAAATTTGCATGTGAAATAGGTTTTTGTTTTTTTCTTGACAGAATAAGTGTTTTTTCCCCCTGTGTGGAACATTGATGTATTCGTTTAGCACCTCTCTGCAGCAGATGTCATAAGGTGCTTTACATAAACTGGATCAAATGCACACAAAAAGAAAAACACAGAAAAATAACTTATGAATACGTGATGTGACTCCTGCAGGAGGAAGGGGACCTTCTTTGTCTCCCAGGTGGTTCTGACACCAAAGGCCAGCACAGTGATGAAGGGCATGAATAGCGGACTGAGAGAGACAATCACAGACAGGTGTGTATGACTGTTTATGTATGACAGAGACAGAAAAAAAGTTTTATGATCATGTTCAGTATGACACTAAAATTGGATGAGATGCGGGGTTAGCACTGCAAACAGTATTATTCAACGTATGCACAGGCACTGTGGAACCAAACTTACAGCAACACCTTTTGCCCCAGAGGCCACAGAAATGTCATGGTTGAAACAAAACAACTTAAAACAAAAATTGATGTGCACGTGCACCTCACATAAACAGTCATATGTGAGTCATTGTAGCATTTTATAACTAAATCCAGAGGCATGTTGTTTTTTCGTCGGTATCTCTAGGCGTTTGACACTAACCTCAAGTTTCTTTTAAACAGCTGACACAAACCCAAGGCGATGCTTCTCATCCTTATCCTCCCTCTTTCTATATCTCCCCTGCTCAGTTTTGGTTCAGGATTTTCTTTTCATGCTTTACCCCCAGTTTTGTCTCTATATAACTCCCTCTTAGTGTCACCAGTTTGTTAAAAGCCTCAGCAGCAACAAACGTCAATTTTCCTGGCATGAATTATTCATTTGACAACTCCACTATCAGCCATTCTCACCAGGCGTCTGGTTACTTTGATGTAGGCGTCCTTCAGTATTCCATCCATTCGTTTTGCCACACAGGCTGCCAGTGTAGACCTCGACAGAACAAGGAAGCGAGCATGAGGAGGAGACAACTCTGAGAATTTTGCCAAGTAGAAACCTGGGCGAGGCATCTGCAGGAGTAACACCCTCCCCCTGCTGCACGGCTCACATGAACATGTCCAGCAAGTGTTCAGAGTGTCGTCCTCACAGCTGGTGTCTGGCTTGCAGACATTTCATGCTGCGTCACAGAGATCATTTATCACAGCGTGTCTCTCTCTGTGTTAAACCAGCCTACCATGAATCATCCCTTCTTCTATCCCTCTTAGATCTTTTGTGACTTTGTATCCCCATCTTCCTCATTCCTCTAACATGTCTCTGTGTCTCTGTATGTGTGTGCGTGTTTCCATGCGTCCTCCCAGGGCCTTACCGGGCATGATGCAGTGGATCAGATCTCAGAGACCCGGGGAGAGCGGCATCAACATTATCACAGCTGACTTTGTGGAGCTCGGAGAGTTCATCAGCGCCGTCATCACCCTCAACTATCACCTGGACGACGAGGAAGATGATGCCACCTGAGAGCCCACAGGGGGCGGCGGGGAGCACGGTCACCACCACTAGCACTAGGGGCTTTGGTCTGTGCTCTCACTCTTTTCTCTTTGGCATTTATTTCAGGAGGAGAGCTGCACTGCTCCTTTCACTTTATTTAGGGCTATAGTGAATTGACAGCTCAAATGGCAAAAGGGTGTTGAGGTAAGAGAAGTTGGGATTGGGAGAAACGACACAGGTGTTTGATTGGAGCACGAAGAGAGTGAGGTTACGATTTGTCTTTCTTCTATTTTGGGGATCGACATTTTGTTTCTCAAGGATGGTGATTTTCTTTACTTCCTGTGCTGTAAAAGTAACTGCATTTTCCACTGATCAAATGCACTGTTTTCTGACTTACCACTTCACCTGGGGTAGATTCCTCTCAGCATATCAACTTTCAACTAAGTGTATTGGTACATTCTTTTTTTGTATTCTAGTGACAGTTTTTTTCAGAAGTTGTTGTAAAATAAGCTTATGTAACTTAAACCACTCTAATTCTGGGCTGGTTTAAATAGCTTGCCGTTCTTTGTCCAAACCCGTACAAAAGATTTTTTTTAAATAACTATTATAGTATGCATCCCTGATCAGATCACTGCAGGTGTCTCTGAAAAACAGCAGAATGTGTTTAAAACGTGTTATTACAAAATATTTGGTCAGTACATAGACAATAAATTAACCATCTTCCATATGTTTCCTCAGCAGTAGTCTCTGAAGGGGCTTTCTCCCAGTAATAGTCTCCTCTGAAGTCAGCTTGCAGCCTAGGCATTGATCAGACACCTTTGTGCATCGGTAAGTCATTACCTCGCTCATTCAAAACCACAGAGATTTTGAGAGGGTGCAGCTCGGCTAGTGGAGATCAATGTACCAATCACTCTATGGTGCATCTAAACGAAACAACAATCTTAACAATGTCAGCATGTTTGAAATTCCAAGACAAGCACCAGCTGTCGCTGCAAGGAACCTACAAAAAATGATTTCTTTAGGAAATGCAATCAATGCTACTAGTCATTTCTAATGGTTAAGAATCCAACGAGACAAATGTATTGGATGTTTTGGGTGGGTGCTGAGTCGTGATAGCCAAGTACAAAAATACAGTACATCTGGGTACGAGAGTGTATCCACCGTCTGTGTGTGCGCCTATCCTTACTTCTGTAGTGCAGTCTATATGAGTCATCATGAGATGTATCACGGTGTTGTGTCTTTCATAATAACAGGTGATAATGTTGCTTCACACTCACTCACAGACATGTTTTATCTAAAGTCAGAAGAGGCTAAACATCATAAATATGGAGTCAGTGGGTCTTGATGTAACAGCCGTGTTTTGACACATTGAAAATAATACAGTAAATGTTTAGTTTAATATCTAGCTGTAACTCTTCGGTGTCTACCTTATTAGGTGTTTCATGTGTCTGAATGTTACTGAATCCCCGGATTTCTGCTATATCCTTTAGTTCCATTTCATTTTCATTCATGTTTAATGGGTGTCATTCTATATACCCTGCAGTATTTCATTTAGGATGGAAAAGTACTTTAAACATGGCACCCAGAAAGAAAATAGGAATATTTTTTATTGCAAGGTTTCACATCACATACGAGTCAAACATCCACACGTTATGATCGGTGTGGCATTTTCTGCTGAGAATGTATTCTGTAAAGACATTGTTGTCTAGTTTGGTAACATACAACCAAAACAAGAAACTCAACTCTTTGGATTTGTGAATGTATGTGTCTTGTAAGTAACTCTGGCATTTCTAAAAAAAAAAATAAAAAAAAAGGTCTCATGATGGAGTGACTGAGTATCAGCTGGAAAGTCATTTTTTTTGTATTGTACGCTTCAATATGGAGCTCAAGTTGAAGTTTTACAGTTCGAACGGTTCTTCTTTCACTTCAGTGTGGTTTCATGTTCAAATGTTTTATATCGTGGAAAGTTTGTACATACTGTAATTGCAAATAGTATGCAGCCGATGAATTGTAAATTATTTAAACTTTTGCAAAGTCATTGACGATAATTTCTTAACTTATACCTTAACTGAGCTATCATATTGCTTCTTCTATTCATATTTTCAAGTGCATGAACCCAACAGTACTTTTGTTGTTTAGCAACAGGGTCCATTAGTGTTTGTGCATCTGCTAAGTTACCTTCTGCATAATGCTCTCAGGAGCACGAGTGCATCTCAGCTGGAAATGTTTTTACCCTTTAAGACACATCTCCAAAATGGATCTATTTTTTAAACGTTGCAGTGCTACTACCCCATACACATAGGAATGAAAACAAGCAGACTTTGAAGGTTTGTAAACTGTGTTGTAAGGACATTTGTGTCTTCCTCTGGTCCATACCGTTGTCATTGCCTTTATGTTCTGGTGTGAAAAGAGTCCTTTGCTGTTGTAAAATTAAAAAAAAACTTTTGTTCAAAGGTGACTCTATTGTAAGTGGAAACGGCAAAACAAATAAAGCTTCTATGCCTAATGAGTGACTATGTCAAGTATCTGGCTTGTTGAGTGGTGATTGGTTAGTTAGATGCTTGATTTATTAAAAATATATAAAATTATTTGTTAATTAAAGCCATTATAATACAATTGTGATTCAATTCAATCACTAAATGGCAGTACTATAAATCTAAGTAGAGTTGCAGCTTTTAAGCTAACATAACAGTATTTCATTCCCTATCTGTGCAGAGGAGCATCCTAAAATCATCCAGTTTCCAGGGTGATGAGGATGGAGGTGGGTGGGCAGCGGCACCCAGGGTGACCTTGCTGAGACTGTGTTTTGTAATTCAGCATCTGCCATTCTGCAGCCAGGTGTTGCTCACGAAGAGGCTCACTGTGTGTGTGTGCATCTGACTCTAGGTTCAAGGTCTTCGCTTTTAAAAAGAACACAAACCCTCTATTTTGTTGAGTTATTCTGACCTTCTGTCATGTGACTCATAAATAAAGCACGCAGCTGCTTTTAACAAACACTGAATCAAATAGTCAAGTTCTCATATTGATGCATACAAATGCACAGGGTTAAGTGACATCATGTCACACGCATACACATATACTTCTCTGGAAGCAGCAGTGTTGTGCTGGTAAACACAGGCCAGCTGACTGGATGGGTATTAAGTGCTTTGATTGCTTAGATTTAACATTGCAGTAGTTGAGTGAAGGAAAAGGTTATAACTTATTCATTTCCTTTGTTCGCTATATTCCATTTCCTAATGGACAGTATAAATGCTGTACCATGAAAAGTGAAAGAAAAGGCTCTATTATGTACTTGGAGTTTATGTAAATACTTTAAACAAAATGCAAATGCCCGATGTTTTTGTATGCTTATCCGTGTGTCTATCTGTCACTCTCTCCGAAACACACACACACACACACACACACACACACACACACACACACAGATGAGGAGGAGGTAAAGGTGTAGGAGGTAGAGATGGATGATGGCATTCAGACGGTTTAAAGAGGGGCAGTAACGAGATGAACAGTTTCAGAAAAGTTTGGAGTGTGAGGAGGAGGAGGAGGAAGAGCAATTTCGCCAGCCACTCCTGTGTCTAGTTGTATGGGGTGCACACAACACAGGCTGGCAATTTATCCGCCAATACGAGCTACACAACAATCTACAATATTATAGTGAGAGACGTAAAAGGCTGGGACACACAGTTGATTATTAAAAGTCAACAAAAGACGGATTTATAATTTCTTGCCTTGATTGACAGATGGTAGAAACAGACAGGATACATCTGAAATGCAACAAAAGGTGGCCAGGAAAATCAAACCAGGGACGTAGCAGTTACAAGCAGTATGCATTTAAACCAGTAGGCTATCGGGACACAAATATCTCTTTAATGAAGAAATGTTGAAATATTGGTATATGGTTTATTGTGGAGGAGAGCACATAAGCCCCATATTTATTGACTAAGTCTGTCTCTGTCGGAGCCTCACCGCCTGTTGTTCTCTTCCAGGGCAGATGGCGATGAAAAATGCCCTCCGAACATCATGAGACTCACAGAAGCGGCACTAATGGAGGGCACGGTCTGGTGGCCTATTGTCTGGGCCAACTGTTCTGGCCTGAAGTGCAGGGACTTGGATCGCTGCTGTACAGTAGCGAGTCATTTAGTATCGGGTGGTCATTTCAGAAATACAGGAAATCACTTTTGTAGTCATTTTCTCAGTTTAATATGAACAAAGTATGCATCCCTTATGTTTTGATTGTCTATTTTGACCTGAGGTGACACTGTGTAAACGTTTTCTCCAGATTTTTTATATGATTTTGTATTTGACGGTGTTGCAGAAATGATATATATGCGTAGTGTAACAAAGGATACGGCTGAATGTTAGATAGAAGGCTCGCTTTTCCATTTACTCTTTGACGACAGTCGAGTAGAAAATGCCATGCAATTTCTGCATTGCTCTAAAGTTGCTGTACCTGGAAAATTGCTCTTGAATAAGGCGCTTACCTTGAGGGAGCTTCATTTTTTTGTGAATGTAAGGCTGAGCTTGCTGGCACAAAGTGTTTGTTTGAGCTTTGTATTTCTTTCTATTCTATGCCTCTGCTGTTAAGGGCCAAAAAATATAGCAGAATTTCCAAAATTCCATCACCGCTGTAGTAAAACTTTTTTTTGTATTTTGTAGCTCATTTTGAGCTGCACATTAATTTGACATCCTAAATTTGTGGGCAGGATAAAATTGTCTCTTGCGTATGTCTCAAAATGATAGGCAGCAGGAATCAACGCTCACTAAAACAACCTCGCCTGCCCTCAGGCTACTGAAAAAACATTTCATCGGAACACTCAAACTCAGTGCTATTCCCTTTTGAGCTGCCAGTATGTGATGGATATGCACAGTATGGCCTCCTGTCTGGCTGTGACAGCAGATATATATACCCATAATTAGACAGCGATGTGGATTCCACATACAAAATTGGGAACACTTCCTCATTAAATAGCAGAAGAAACTCAAATATGGCTCAAATATGTCCCTCTGCAGATATACATCTGGTTGTCATAGGCTTCTTCATGCAGCCTCTCTTTCTCTCTGTCTCTTTCAACATGTGGACAAATCATTAAGATGTCCTAATAGATCCTTAACTATATGCAGTTTTCCTCAAAAATCTCCTCTACTTACTTACCGTATCCATTACTTTGCCCAGCCTTGAGTCACATTTCAGCCATGAAGAGGAAACGGTTCTCAAATCTCTATTGCCCTCCAGTGTTTACTCGACTATATCACATCTCAATACTCATAGTTATGGGTGTCTGTTTTAGTTTTTGGTCATTCATGCTTTCAGCAAATCTCCCTCTGAACAAGTTAGAAATGACAATATGCATTCATTTTAGAAAAAACAAATGGTTTGTACTTTACTCAAAGAAAATGACATCTGCATCTTGAAGGACGGCCCTGCTTTCCACAGTCTACGCACTGCTCCTTTAACTCCATTTTAAGAAGTGAATGTGAACACAGATCGTGACTGATTGTCTTTAGTCCCATGGTCACCAAACACATATCTTCTGAACATTCTGACACTGAAATGGCTTTTTTCAGACAGACAAGTGAGAAAAAATGTACTTTGTACTTTGTTCGGAATTTTTGTAATACCAAACATGGCTGATATCAGTGTAAATATCTAATGCAAGCAACATAAAATATAGATTTCTTGTGCGCATATAACCCAATCTGCTTTCCTCCATCTGGAAGACGTTCACAAAACTTCCAAACGAGGTAGGGGGATCGGGGGGAGAGGCAAACATTCCATGACCATGCGCACTTATGCATCACTATTTTTTTAAGTCATAAAACGATATGATACAAAAAGTAACAAGAAAATCAAAGTATAGTGTGTCACAAAAGTCGTAAAAATAAATTAAAAAGTCATAGAATAATTTGTCACAAAGGTTGTAAAAGGTCATAGTCTAACACAACAAAGGGTAATACAAGGGTCATAGTATAGTATCTCACAAAAAGTCATATTGTATGTAACAAAAAAACTATAAAAAGGTCAGAATATACTGTATACTGTACACCTACTTTTTCTACACACTTGTTTACATAATAGTCCTGTTTATCCTTTCAATTTAATTGTTCAGCTTTGTTGTCCTTGTTCCAAGCTGTTATGTCTATTTCTGTGTACACTGAGAGCAATGCAAAAAAAAAAGAAGATTGTATGTACACATACTTGATCAATAAAGTTGATTCTGTTTCTATCTACATTGGTTTAAAAGCTGAGCTTGACCTTTGACAAAGCATTAACCTGTAAGCTAACATGTGTAATGTACCATGAGAAGTCCTGGAGGGGCTGATTGGGTTGAAATTAAGGGGCACTGGCCCCAACATGACATTTCTTTCACCTTTTTCGGGACGTCCTTTTTTCACAGCAGACAGTTTGATTTGCCATTGTAGGAAAATATTTTTGTGGTGCCCCTTGCCTCACAGGCAATTCCATCATGAACCACGAATCAAACTGCATATCTGTCCTGTCTTTGAGATTGTTTTTACAGTATTTGATCTATTTTGCATTGTCGCTGCATCCTGTGCTTAGCCCTGCCCAAGATGATTGTCATTGGTTTCAAGAAATGCAAAATAGGCCAGAGCGGTTTTTTTCCTGTTGTGCCAGAATGATAATGTGTGGAGCCAGACCTTTCTTTAGTGCTGCGGGCAACTAAGAAAATAAGTAGTAGTTATGTTGTTGTGGGCTTTTTTGGAATATTTTTTAAATACTTGTATCAAAGTCTGAAGAAGAACAGCAGATAGAGAGTCTCACTCCAAGAGGAAACTTTTCAGTTTCACAATGAGCATTTTGGCAGCTCCACAAAATATGTTCTTTTCTCTTGTCCAAAACAAAGACCCCCCCCCCCCCCCCACACACACACACACACACACACACACACACACACACACACACACACACACACACACACACACACACACACACACACAAATACATCTTCCTTTCCCCTCATGAAACCCAATGAATTCCAAGGAATGTTCCTCTAAGAGTTTGACTCCCTAACTTGAACAAAACTGAGCAGCGCCAAAGCCTCTTCAAGACTCTTCTGTTTGCTGCTCTTCACTCACCATGAAGGCAAGTACATTTTACACTCAATAACAGGACAATCACGAGCCTATTTCTTCAGATTTCTGCACAATAATTTTAGATTAGATTTTTGAGTATTTGAGCATTTACTTTGTGTCCTCTGTTTACTGCTGAAACCTCTCATCTTCTCTTGCCTTCTTCTCTCCTTTACTCTTCTCTTCTTCACTTCCTTAGAGCATTACACAACTCTTTTTAGCGGCCCTGCCATGGCTGCTATTCATTTTCACTCCCAAAGGGTAAATCTGTTAATGCTCTATTGTTTCAACATTTAAAACAACAACATATATATATATAATATAAATGATACAAATGATAACAGCAATGATTATTTGGTTTCATTACACCTATTGGGTTTCATTTATCGAATCATTTGATTTAAATTTCATCCCCAAGGTTTTGTGTCCAGAGGGTTCATTGCCGGTGGGGGCCTTATGGTGACTGGTCAGAGTGTGATGGCTGCACCAAATTACAGGTGAGGACGAATAATTCTAGTATTGACTAGTTCACTTCTCTCTCTAGGTAATTATTAGCACAACTTAAAGTTAAACCCTTTATAGAATGATGATAAAATACACATTTTACTAGCAAGTACATTTTTTTTAAATGATGAAGATATTTAGTTTAATGCTTCTTAGTATATATTTTTTTATATTTCTTTGTCACATTGTGGTATGTCACAGACAAGAAGCCGAGCTATGGCTGTCTACGCTCAGTTTGACGGGAACCCCTGTCATGGGGAGCGGACTGAGACCAGGTCCTGTGAAACCACACAAGGCTGCCCTCTAGAGGATGGATGCGGTGACAGGTTTCGCTGTCGATCAGGTTAGAAAAGAATCTCTGCTCACTTCACATAATCACACAGAATTAAATAACAATCACAGAGCTGTTTGTCTGTCTTGGGACCCACAGGGCAGTGTATTAGCCAGTCCCTGCTGTGTAACGGAGATCAGGACTGTGAGGAAGACGGACATGACGAACGTAGCTGTGACATTGGAAAACACATTGTATGTCTAACGTCAGTTCCCCCGCCTCAAATTGAGCACCTAGGACGCGGGTAAGCGACACATCGTTTGTGCACCCATACACCAACACAGAAGCACGTACCATAGGCTTAACATTGGGATACTTTCTGTAGGTTTGATGTGGTGTCAGGGCAGCGGAGGGCCGCTGTCATCAACACAAAGAGCTTTGGGGGACAGTGTCGCTCCATCTACAGCGGTGTCCACAATGCTCTCTACAGACTGCCACTTAGTACGACCCAGTACAGCTTCATGGTTGGTCACTCAGGAAACATGTAGAGTTGCAATTAATATTGATACTCCTCTTGGAGTCCTCTCACTTTTTACTGTAAAGGTACCCTGCAGAGATTGTTCATGACCACAGCTTTGTTTTCTCAGCATCCCTAAGGCCTATTAACACGTGACAATATCTTCTACCTGATTTGTAAAGCATTTATTTAATCTATTAGTTTGTTACATCAACTTGTGGCCTTCTTCTTCTTTTCCTCTTTTTATCGGTGCATTCATATCGATGCATTTTGTGATCTGGTTCATTTTTTTTGGCAACTAAAGCTTCTCGACTAAAGTTGAGAAAAGAATGTGACGATGGTTGAGCCTTCAAGGACAAGAAATACAAAGACATGACTTGTCGCTGGTGTGAAAGACACTGGGTTAGTTGACCCAACCATCCACAATGGCCCCAGTAACACCTGGTATTAACATGTGATCTGTATCTGGAAATATTATCTGAAAAATGACATCTTTGCATTACACCGGGTGTTAATGAGCATTCACTTTACCTCTATCCTTGGATCTCCATGCAAATAAGTTATGCGAAAATGGTGCATTCAAGGTCAAGCCAAGCAATGCCACGAATGGGCGTAATTCATTTCTAAATCAGCTTTTGCAGCTGACCTTTTAAACTTGCTGAGCTAATTTTTTTCTAAAGGATGTTGTCACACATTTACACATATCACAATGTGAGTCAGACCACCCCCAGATAGTGTCTGGTGAATCCAATCGTACTTTGATGTTAATGTGTTCTGGGTGCATTTACTCCTTTAACGCACATTTACCTTGTTTAGGTAGGACAAACAGATACAGTTTGCATGTTTGTTCCAGGTGTAAAGGGGGTAAATGTGAGAGAATAACAATGCTGCCTCAGCTCATACTACCACAAAGGTTGCTTAGTTTTAAGTGTTATAACCGATGCTGCAGATTGGTGAAGTCTTGTGGTGTGCATGTAAGACCTTCTGTGAATGCTGTTAATTTAGTGGTGAAATCATTACTTACTTACACCATCACCACTGTGGTCAAAAACTCCACAGGGTAGTTTTGAATACTCAAGATCTTCAGTTTCTGTGCACATTTATTTAATTTTCTTAAGATTGGGTGCTTTAAATTGTTAAATTCACATTGTGAAACCTGTGCTGTTCTCAGGTTAAAGTTCAGAATGACTTCAGTGATGAGATGTACTCCAGCAAATGGCACTATGCGAAGGACGTTGTCAAGAGAGAGACAGTGACCGGGACCACGACAGGATATAGCAACTATGACTTTCACGAGACTCAGGACAGGACCCAGGTGTGTGTTGAACCTGTAGATCCCAGTGATAATGTATGAGAATGGAAAAGGAAAATCAAACTTCAAAAACTAAACTTATTAAGTGATACTATTCCTTCCAGTACCAGAAGCTATTGGTTCTAAAGAGTGACATAGAGGTAGCTCAGTTCCAGAGCACCTCTCATCAGTACCTCCCACTATCTGAGGAGTTCTGGAAGGCACTGGTTAAACTCCCGTCGGTCTACAACTACGCTGCCTACAGGAAGGTTTTACAGAGGTTTGGAACACACTACCTGTCTGAAGGAAGCCTTGGAGGCTCCTTTAAGGTCATCGCCAAGATTGATCAAGAAACTGAAAGACAAATGGGTGAGGATTCATATATCATCAACAGCTTCATTGTATGCTTTAATCAAAGAATAGTGAATCTTCAGGCACCTGACAAATTCAGCATGTCGTGTTTTTGAGAAACTTTAATTTCCACTATTGGACATAACGGGAAGAAAGTACCTTTTACTTCACATACTGGTGGTTGACAATCATAATTATTCTAATGGTGCCTAGTTGTCTTTTATTTGTAAAAGTTTTATATATGAACGTGACAAAAATAAAAAATAAATAGAACTAGATCACATTGTTCACCATTGACAACATGGCTAAATTATATATTTGAAATGTATATTTTAGGGAAAATGTCATCAGAATGTTTTTTCCCTGAATACATTTCATAAAAGCAAATAACCTACTCTAGAATTTAATCTATTTTGCTTTTCTGAAATGTGTTTTGATATTTGCATCAAAATTTGAATAAATATGCAATATCAATATGTTTCTTGATGCATTTAGAAATGAAGGGTGCATCAGACTATTTTAAATTGTCACAAAGGGCACATAGAATTTCCAAAATAACAAATAATAATTTAAAGTTTTTTTAATGTTCAGTGGTTTAAATGCAACCATAGAAACTGTGGTTGGATGCAATTGTATTGGTATTAGAAGTATTAGATGTTTTTTTCAATTGTCAATCTGATTGATCAAATTGCCGCTCATGAAGCGCTGCCTCAATCCTGCTGTTCATTTCTGACACTGACTTTTGTTTGTCTTTTTCCTTTCATTTTGTTTCAAAGTCAGCACAAGCACTCAGTATAATGAATGTGAGAGGACTAAACGTTGGGTTCTTATATTCCCCATCTACAAAACGGTCTGCAAGAGTGGTCAAGATCAAAGCCAATCAAGCAGTGGTACAATTTTATTGTTAATACTACAAACACACCAGCCTCTGAAATCACTTGCCTTTTCTGAATCATTCTGTCATTCTTCATCTCTGCAAATCTTTTCAAAATAGGTAGTACCAGGAGAAATCATGTGCAAAAAGTGAATGTGCAGGGAGGAGGCATCCAACATATTGCAGCACTGCAAGGCATGCATCTCTCTGATCCAGACAGGAACTGGGAAATGTTCTCAAACTGGGCTGAGTCTGTTCGATCTTCTCCAGAGGTCATAAAACAAACAGTGAGGGAGAGTAAAAGAAGCATTTTGAACTATAAAAGCGTGAACGTAATGTTGGATTCACAATATATGCATTTAAGTCATCTCATTAAATAACACAACGCTCCATCTCTCTCTTGTTTTGGCAGCTGCGGCCGCTGTCAGAGCTGGTGAAAGAGGTTCAGTGTGCTGGGGTGAAGAGACTCTACCTTCGCAGGGCCATAGAGCAGTACCTTACTGAGAGCGACACCTGCCACTGCCGGCCCTGCAGAAACAATGGCATGGTTGTCATGGTTGGAGATAAATGCAAATGCATCTGTAAGCCTGGCACATCAGGACTGGCCTGTGAGCAGGGAAGTGAAGCGGAGGGTCAGCAGGGTGGGTGTTACATATTTTTCGGCAGGTTCTTTACAACTGCTGTCACTTTGGTCTCAAGGTGGTTTGATATGTTTAAGGAAATAGTTGACATTTTGTTAAATAGGCTCATTCAATTCCTTTCTGAGAGTTAGATGAGATAATGAAGAGATGAATCACTCTTTATTGGATGATATCACACAGACTGCAATATATTCCTCACTTTCTCCCTCGTTCTTCCTTTCTGTTTCTGCCCATTAAGGAGTGATCCACGGCAGTTGGGCCTGCTGGTCAGCCTGGTCATCGTGCTCTGGGGGTCGAAGATCAAGAAGACGTAGCTGCTCTAATCCCACTCCTCAGAACGGGGGTCAACAATGTATCGGAGAACCCACTGAGACGTCTGACTGTGAAGACCAAGACCTGCAATACTTAAAGTCAGAGCGAGTTTAAGTTTAATTTTGCAACACTATTGTAACAGGCACCAGGGTTCTCTGCATCGAAGGAAGTTTCACAACATCAACACTTTACAACATCTTTATTTTTTAAAACTATTTATTTCTTTACAGAACAATGGAGCCTCTTTGCTTTGACCAAACTCTCCCAGCAAGTCAGACGTGTGGAAACCCACCTGTTCTAATCAACGGCTACATCCTGGTGAAGATTAAGCCAAACATCTATATACCGTACATTGCATAACAAACTATTGAAAAGATTGAATATGTTCATGATCACACAAATTGATTTTCAAGCTAAACTGTGCCCTTCTATGTCCAAGAAGGGCACAGTTTAGTGTCCTCATATTACTTACTTTGTCTTTATATCAGTCAGCCTAATTTACCAAAGGCTTTAATATGGAGAAATGATATCTTTTGGTAAATATAAGAATGCCTCTAAAGCACATTTGAGACCCAACATGAAAACAACAGGCAATGTGGGAAATGTTTTTGTGTATGTGAAATTAAATATTTCATGTGCCTCCAATAAAGGGAAATGAGCCTGGCTTAATGGCATGGAGTCACATTTATATTTCAGTTCCTAATTTCTGTTGCTTTGTAAGAGATCTGTACATAAAATCAAAACTGGAAAAATGGAACTTAATACCCTTCTTGTCTCCACAGGTCCCTAAGGACATTTACCTTGTGGGTAGTATGGTTGAGTACACCTGTACTGGCAGTTTTTATCTCGCTGGTGACAGCATCCTAGAATGCACTGCTAATCAAACCTGGTCTACCAGCCCTGGACTGTGTACAGGTGAGTACCTATAATAAAGGTAAGGATATTGTAATCCTAGTTCAATAAGGACTCCATTCTGGATGTATAAAGAAAACTGGATACAGTGTCCGAGCTGACACCCCATTCATTGCTATCCAAGTTACTCAGTGGCGCATGTAGCAAAAAAAGCTTGACTTCCGATTGCAGAATTTAATTTAAAATACCCAGATTTCCCGTTGATCTTTCGCATCACTGGGCCCATAGAGCAAGTGAGATAGCCTTAACCCCACTTCCCGGCCCTCGGCCCTGCCTCCTTCTCATTCACATGAACGGTGGAAGGACAATAACTCTGGATTCCGCTATAAGTGTAGTTTACAACTTTTCGGACCTAAAGGTTAAAATGAGGGCTATTCAAGTGTTTGTACGGGGAAGTTAATTTACCTAAAAAAGATTATCCACCGAGATACATACGTCTCTCTCCCAATCTAAGTCTATCGGGAAAAGTGTTTTTGGGCCCGGCCTCACATAACGCACTCGGATATTGTAATTCCACTATTTTTAATTTGCTTCAAAGCCTGGCGCTCTTACTGGGGGCTTGTTCTCGATGGGTAATACTCTCCTTCAATCACGAGCATGCATTCGCCCACTGACATTTTGCATAAGCGTAGCCAGCCAACGAGGATGTGACTACCTGAATATGTGAGGGCCCAGTATATAAGGCAGCACACAATGCTGCTAAACTATCCTAAGCCCGCTTCAGCAAGGATATTAAGAGCAGCAGGGGCAACCTACTTCTTAATAACCTATAGGCTGCCGCAGCGGAGAAGTAGGGTGCTCCAGCTAACCCAGGTAGCACGTAGCGAAACTTGGTAGAGCCATGGCCTGACCTTGCAGGGGTCAAACAGACAAGCGGTAGACACCATGCATTCCCACCCTCTACACCAGTTCTGTGTCATTCCAGTAATTATGGACCCTGAAAGGGAGCTTGACATGTCCAAGTCAAGCAGTGGGCAAATTGACTGAAGAGAAAAAAAGAATGGTTTAGCAGCGGGGTATGCTGCCTTATATACTGTGGGGTCCGCACACATTCGGGTAGGCACGTCCTGATATTCTACACCTGGGCGAATGATGATTGTTATCATTTTGTTTGTGATACCTTCAGAGCCAAGTAGAGGGTGGACCCTGTATGGGTTAGAACCAAAGTTTAACATTTACGATCACAATGAATTACAGCGTTACTCTGTTGAAGTCCGCTTTTCTTTCAGTCCCCAGGTGCAACATTCAGTCCCTCTCTGATGACGTCACAGCCTCTCCTTTAAAGCAGGGCTATGGCATAGGGGAGACAGTCACCTTGTCCTGTCCAGCAGGTAGACAGCTACTAGGAGAACCAACGGTTATATGTGACCCCAGTCTGCATTTTTCACCAGATCCAGCAAACATCAAATGCAGCCCAGGTACATTTTACTTCAAGGTGTATAGGCCTTTTAGTCATCTAGCAGACTGCTTGGAACTGCTGTGTAACAAGATGTGATTGTGCCCTACTTTTCATTCATTCTTTAATGTTCCATGTACTATAATTTTCTCGTTGCATCCATGGATGTCAGCAATGTGGGAGAATGATTTCTATGTATCCCACAGTACCACAACAACGCAGCTCTCCTGTCGTGCAATGTAAACCGTGGGAAAAGTCTTCCAAAGGAAAATGTGTTTGCAAAATGCCTTTTGAGTGCCGGTATGTTTCATAACTTTGTCCATGTGACACTTTGCAAATTGGACGGATTTCAATAATTATTTTGTTTTTGTGGTTATTGTGTTTGATGATGATTTTTGTCACCAGTTCATCATCTTTGGAGGTGTGCGCCACTAATCCTGTGAATACAAAATCAGTCCTTCTGAATGTCTGCAAAATGCATGCTCTGCAGTGTATGGGGAAGAACTATACTATAGCAGAGGACAGCGCATGCAAGTGGCCGGAGCACAACACAACAGGCTGCATCAACTGTCACATGTGGGAGACCTGTGACGGTGGGGACATCTAATAGTTACAAACAATCAATGGCAACGTACAGTATTTGCAGTTTGTAGTAATTGATCCCATTTGTCTTCACACCATTCATTTAGATCAAACCAACGAGTGTCGCTGCAAGGACTCTGCAGATTGCTTGACGCCGGGATTAAATGTGTGTGTAAAAGTTGGGGAGGATGCAACCTCAGTGTCTCAGACCATGAGCGAGTGTGAAACAGGACTACGGAGATGTAAGGGAGGAACGCTGTCAGTTGTCAGTATCCTGCCTTGTACTGCTGAAGATGCGGGATTGACCATATGACTTTAAATCTCCACCTTCCTTTACACATTAATCCTCTATGACACTCTCCTCATATTTTTCCGGTGAATTAGTATTGTATCAAATGTTACCGCTTCACCAAATTGATAAAGAACATCGTTATGCATGTATAAAACCATAATGTAAAACTATCAAAACAACGAATAAATAGCAAAATGGTAAATGGATCTGCTGAAAATGTATTCTAGCTAGTTGCCCTCTGAAGGTGTGAGTGCATGTGTGTCTGAACCTGCCTGTAAACTGTGTGACACCAGCTAAAAGTTATAATGTAGTATTCCATAAAAAGGTCGAAATGGACATAGTACAATATGCCATATAAATGTCATGAAAATCACAGGATAGTATGCTATAGATATGAGATCAAAAGTCAAAATACAGTATTGTATGAAAATGGCATTTCACCATATTGGAGAAACATGGTTTGAACTGGGCAGCAAAAATATACAGTGTCTCTATTCAGAGCAATTTACAACAGTTTATATACAATACTGTAACATAAACCATTCATTATATTGTGCTGTTCCGGTGTATAGCTTCTGTGTATCCCTGCATTCAGTAGACATGTCACCCATTTGTTAAAAGACACACATCTACAGGCAATTTAGAGTCATAATTCACCTAACCTGCATGTTTAGATTATAACAAATATAATAGTATACAGTCGGCCAAATTTTGGGGTTGACGAGTATCCTTGAAATAAATCATGTCAGCCACTTATCACTACATAATGACAAAACTTTCAAGCTTTTCCTTTACTGATAAAAAAATATACTTACTTCCAGCAGCAAAAGGTGACCAGCTAAATCCTGTCTGACGGTAAATTCTCTTTTTCACTCTATTTCTCCAGCCCTCAGTAAACACAGACAAACGCTGCTTGTTATAGACCTAATAAAATATCTTCTTGCTTTTCTCTCATTTCCCCGTTCTGTACCTCCATCTATCTTAGTACCCTTCTCCAAGATAGACGTGTCAGACAAATGGGACATTTTTGATAGTTTGTCTCCACCCAGTGAAAATTCAGTAGATTACATGCAAGACAATTCCAAGACTAGATGATTAGTTTCAATAACAAAAGTTTTATTAACAATGTAAAATGACCTATATCAGCTTTGACTACTGTACCTTCACCGTGCCATAAACATTGATCACTATCATTAATAAGCAAGAACCATGCTGCCTGGCCTCTGTCTGCACTGGACTGCCTGAGACAGAGGGAGACCCTCCCTGTTTACACCAACAATCAGAATATTTACCAGCCATCTCCATCTTTGAAACAATCCAGAGAGCATTGCGTAAAGAGAGTATGTGTATATACAAGTCTAATGTCTCAATTTATAGATAGATATTGTGTGCAAAGAAGTTTTCTTTTTGAGTATTGTATCATATATTCCATTTTGAAGCTGGAAAGGTAAAGTTGGATACAGGTACTTGGTTTATGGAAGACTAAATTAAGTACATTAAGAAGAAAAAACAGCAAGAAACAGAAAACAGATACTGTAATACACAACAAACTTACCCTGCACAAACCTCTCATCTCAGCTTTGACATACGAAGATATAACTTTGTCTTTGCAACTGCCATCGTGGAATATTCAGATGGCTTCTGTTCATAAGTTAACACATTATTTCTGACAAAAACTGACAATTACATTCCCTTTTTTTTACATGAACCCTCATTTCATTCACTCGGGTTTGCAGAAGTAAATGAACATTGACACGATCTCAAATGACCTCTCATTCTCTTTTACATTGGACAAGCAAATATCTGACTTGTTTTACCAAAAAAGGGAAAATTTGTTGCAAAATATCTTAAAATATATGTTCATGACTTTTGTTTTCATCACATTGCAGTTACAATTCTTCTTTGTATCACAAAATAAAATTATAAAATGGGCAGCCTTTTAAAAAAAAAGAGAAAGAGACAATTTATTTGAAAATGGCAGTAATAGATTGGTGGGAGACACAAGTGGTGAAGGACAGTGGGTGATGGTGTCTTTGTTGCCGCCTCCTACCCACGAAGGCGGGGCCCTTAGCTGGTTACCAGGCAACAGAGCCCAAAGAACCGCCTCTTCCTCTGTCGGACCAGTGGGTAGGGAGTCAGGTTCAGCAAACTGCTGTCATCTGGGCACAAGAACACACGGCAGAGCAGAACACTGCCAAGTTAGACATTTGTGTTAGTTTTAGATATGTGTTTTTCTTTAAGCCAGTCTTCATCTCAATGAACTGGCGATGCTTTTTCGACTATAAAAGACTGAGAAAGTGTCACTGCTCTGGGGTTGAGGTGTGTTTGGGGATGTGTGTGTAATTGGGTGAAGCTAAATAAGTCTCACCTTGGTTCTTCAATGGTAAAGGCATTGTCTCCCTGAGTTTACTGAGAAGGTTCTTCATCTCCCTCATATCCCTGCAACAACACAAGTAAGGGCTTTAATGTAGAGCATCTTTCATGCACTGTATTTACACACAAACACACACACACACACACACACACACACACACAACTTTAGCAAATGCTCACCTGCCCCATTTTTGCAGTGTCATCTAAAAATACATCTTAAGTAAATTGTATGCGGCATGATAAAATGTATCAGTCTAATTTCAGCAGCTAATATTATACACGCTCTGACAAAGCACAGTGCGCTCTGTGACGACGAGATGCCACCTCAATATGTCAGGAATTGTTCAAGTAGTTTGCAAACAGTCTATGTTGCAACATCCCAAGTAAAACTGGATGTTTTACAGTTTTCATAATTTGACTCTGTGTTTTTAAGGAATCTATATATAAATATATAGATGCTATAGATTAGTATATTAATATGATGTTATAGATTAATATATATAATCTATAGTCTTTTTGTCAACTCTGCCAAGTACAGTCGGTTGTAAATACTGTGGGTTGGCATTGCACAAAAACATCTGGTAATTTATAGAATCTGTATTTTCCTTTACTGCTATGCAATTATATCTTCATAAGAAAAAATATTTAACAAAGCAAGCTGTAAATGACCAACTATTACATTATTAGTGAGGTTGAAAGAGGAAGATTTGAGGTGGGATGTAATTAAATTAAGTGATTTCATTAAATATATATTTTAAAGAAAATAATGAATGTTATGAAGCAACCTGTTGACGCATCGCTGATCTTTTCAACCCTGTAAAGTGACAAAAAAATAGTGGCATACTTTGCATTATGTTTGCTGACACTCGCGCTACAACGAGGAACATGTAATTATTCACACATCAATAAACACACACAAACACACAGCACTTACACTCGCACACAGAAGGACACAACACATTCGTTGTCTACCTACCTTTCTATGTTTTCTATGTCAGTGGCCACCAGCCAGTAGAGCTGAGGAAAGTCAGTGGGGGAAGAAGAGGTGTCCTCCAGGATGGGGATGTCTGAGCTCTCCTCCGTCTTACTTTCGACCCCGGTAGGGCCACAGCCATCCTTACCTAAAGCACATAGAGAGCAGCGAGCCTAAACATGTGTCACCACTACATTAAACAAAGGGGAAACAAGGACGAAAAAAAACGGACATAAAATGACCCGTTCGATCACATGTTTTGTCTTTGTTTATGAAAGATGTACAGAAGCACTTGTTTATATTGGTACGCATATATCCAGGTTTGTTGATTAGGCTGCCGGTGAAGTTTTAGATGATATTCTGAATAATAAAACATGTTGAAAGCTGTCAATAAATAATTACATCTGTGTATATATTTTAAAATCTGCTAGTCTGAGTTCTTTGTCATTTGTTTTAAATGAATTACATTTTTAAAAAGACAAACAAAGCATGCTGTATATAACATGCGTATACACCCAAACTCAACAGCTATGCCATGAGGCTTGTTCATGTATTAACCTTTCCTGTGAAGCTGCAGGGAGCCCAGCAAGCAGACAGATTTGAGCATCTCAGTGATGTACATCTCCAGACAGCACTGCAGCTGGATGAAGAGCCTACAGATCTCAGGGTGGATCTCCCCGTCCTCTGGCCTGAGATGACACATAGTTAGAACACAGAACGGTTACTGGACAGCTGGAACCCGATGAACTCTGGGTACAATACAATATGGAAACAAATAAAAAAATAATTTATTACAAATTAATACAAAACGAAAGTTGACTGATGAGTTTAGACTTGTTGAGCTCAGTTACTTTATGTGTATGTGCTACACCTAGCCCTAGCAGTTCCTTTGATCAGTGCTCAGCATATAGATTCCAAACTGCATAAAAAGGCAAGACATTGCCTAGTTTGGGTAACTGGGAAAAAAGTAAAATAGTGTGGCTAATAGTGAAGTAAAGAGTCAAATTCACCTAACTTAATTATTCCTTAAATACTATATGATGGACTGGATTAATCCATGAGTGGATAGTGGAATTTAATATTTTCAGTTTCAGAATGCACATCTTCTATGTCACTTCATAAAACAGTCAACTACACATCTCACTAACATCATTTAATATTTTGAAGTATCTTTCATACAAATTAAAAATAACTAATATCAGAAGGGGTCATAAACTCACATAATCACATAAAAAAAGTTTCCCAAATTTAAACCACGATGAGATGAGAGATACGCTGGAGTTTGCATTAAGGATGAATAAATAGGAGTGGTCTGTTTCTTTAGACCTGTTTCTATTTCTTTATGTCAACAGCAGACGGGGTCAAAATTGCAACTGGCTGGATTTTGCTTGATTATCTTATTGTGTGTCCATATTTTTTTGTATGTTTAACCATCTGAGAATGTGTAAATAAAATTCAGTGGAGACGTTCAAACATAAAACCCCCATCTGAGTATTTTTTATTTACCCAGAGCTGATCACTAGCTTTTAAAAGACACCGCAGTAGCTTCAAGACCATATAGATCTGGTGTTCAAAGGGGAACTACAGCAGGTGATATCCAGTGGGTGTGATATCACAGGGGAAAGTGACAGCGATGGAAGGTGTGAAACTTGCACCTGGTGCAAATATTTTTCACACAAATCATGCTGTTGCATTCCCCTCTTCCAACAGCAAGCCTCTCCTTCCCATCCTTGTTTTGTCACAGTGCTGCCTTCTACAGTATACTGTTGCTAAAGCAGAGCTGTCATCAATGCTATATCCTGCTTATCAGCTTTCCTCTAGCACATCGGAGAGGCCCTGCATCACTCAAACCATTCAGACACACTGGCTTTATTTGATTAAAGGGGAATGATCTGTGCTGTCTAATTCAAGCCCTGTGTCTCTGGCAGTGGAGACGGACATTGAGGAGGAGGTTTAGAGTATTATGACAGTGACGTTGATGCTGCTATCAGTGGAAACTTAGAGTTTTCTCTAAAGCTGCTAAACCGTCTCTTTTTCTGAAGCAACGGCAGAAAATTCAAGCACACGACTATAATTGATGGTACTTGTTGGCTTGGAGGTATAACTGTATCTAGCTGTATAATTACGAGCCATATATGTGAAAAAGAAGTACAGACTGCTCTGTTTCTCAAATGATTTGAATAAGATGTCATTAAAGCCTTGTTATAAAAAATGCAACTGAGATGTCCCTGTACATTGGATGTTGTATGATTCATGTATCCTTATGACAGGAAGCATGCAGTAGACATGCTTGCTAGCTAACCATACGAGTGTGTGACACACATGCATAAAAAGCCTCCATATATTAAATGGAAAGATTTTGTCATGCATGTAACAGACAGTGAAGGATATGCATTCTTAAATCGCTGTAAATATATAGCAAGTGGATTAATTATTGAGGCAGGAAATGGGTTACAGAGTAGAGTAGAGTACAGCCTAACACATTTAAATGCGTGCCAATGAAAAATATGGCAGGCTAATATTTAATGGAGATCATTGAATGATTTTGCAGGTCTCCAGCAAATGTGTATGTAGGAGGAAGATGGGCTATAGTAAACCTGATGCTGTTATTGTTCCAATAGCGCCCAGGCTTTGGCAAGCAGCTAGCACTGCAGAACGTCTTTCCAAATCCCCCTCACCACTGGCTTCAGTCTGTCCAATTGTTATTTAAGTAAATTTGAGCTTGCCAAGTCAACTGGCATCTTAGCGTCACTGAGGACCTTCAAATCCCAAGCCTCACTTTGCCCTTCTTCCACTGGCATCAATGTGGAGTAGATGTTGTGCTCAATGGAGAGTGCAGGCCAAGTCAACAGACACGTCAAGCTTCTATCGCAGCTGTTTTGCCCTATCTTCAACAAAACCTCTAGTGTAAACAAACCACTATTTTAACCACCTCATATCGTCTGATCACGTTGCATTGACTGTTTATCTTTTTTTTAAGGAGAGATAAAGTCAAGGATATGGATTCTTATAATATTGTGAACTCTAGAAAATAATAATATCCATTGTTCAAAGAGAGACCCCC